CTTGGTAGCCCAGGCTGGCCTCGAACTCACAGAGATCCGCCTGGCTCTGCCTCCCGAGTGCTGGGATTAAAGGCGTGCGCCACCACCGCCCGGCAAGATTTATTATTTTAATGTGTGTGTGCCTACATGTGTTATGTGCACAGATCCCCTAGAACTGGAGTTACAGGCAGTCGGATGAGTGCTGGGTCCTCCGCAAGAGCAGTAAGTGCTCTTGACTGCTGGGCCACCTCTCCAGTCCCCTACATCCTCTCAGAGACTGCCCCTGAGGGCTTACTTAGGGGAAGGGGGTCTCCAGAGCACGAATGTCCCTGTCACAGCTTGGGCAAGAGGTCCCACCAGGACTGCACAAAAGACTCCAGGGTTAGAGGGTTTGGCGGGTATTGATGCAACCTCCACCCCGTCCCGTCCCAGAGCTGTCCTCGGTAGTTCATGTCCCCTGGCCTTGGGACTTTTCACCAGGCCAGTTCCTGTGGGAGCCTGGTCTGCCACCAGAACAGGGTGGAGGGGGTTTTGTTTTAAAGCAGCTTCCCATTCCTAGGCACGCTGGGAGAGAGGTGCTGAGATCCAGGCTGGGAAGCCTGTTGGGTGGTCCTGCCTGTTGTCTGGGTGACCAGCCTGGTTCTCAGATTCAGGACAGCCAGAGCATTTGGGAGAGAGGCAGCAGGAGGATTAGAAGCTCAAGGCCAGCCTTGGCTACACACAGAGAGGGAAGGGTGGGGGAAGAGGTTGATTGATTGCAAGTGATTGGAACCCACAGCTCTCGGAGCAGGAGCGGCCTGAGCAGGAGTGGCAACTTGGGAAGGAAGGGAACACCTGGTTAGAGAAGGCCCTGAACCAGGGTCGAATGTGGGCCTTATGGACTGGGGGCTGGGCAGAGGAATGAGGCCAAAAGACAACAGAAAAGTCGTGAGGGAAGGGTTCTGGTTTGGTCAAGTCGGGCTCCTGGACTGCTAGATTACAGGTTTGCTGTAGCCCCGGGCAGCGGCTGATAAGGTGGGGCTCCTGCCCTGAGGACTTGGTGTGGCAGACCCTTTACAGGCGAGGCTCGGTGGATGACACTGAAAAGGGAAGGCGGCCCGAGGCTGCCTGGGGGCTGTGACTCCAAACCAAGGAGAAAGACCTCCCGGTGCTAAGGGGTTGCCTGCCAAGATGGGGTCCGAGAGTCACCCCATTGTCTGTTCACAGCCGACTATATAGTGCTCCAGTTCGGTCGGGTAGCTGAGGACGCCTTCACTCTGGACTACCGGTACCCGCTGTGCGCCCTGCAAGCCTTCGCCATCGCGCTCTCCAGCTTCGATGGGAAGCTGGCCTGCGAGTGACCCCAGAGCTCCCCAGCGCTGGGAAAGCATTCAGTAGGGGGTGGCAGGGTCCCTCTCCCACAACCCCCACAAAAGGGCTCACCCCTCTGCCTCTCGGTGACCTCCGCGCACCCCCAGCCTAGCACCAGCCAGGCGGAGCAGCCCTGACCGGCTGGGATGGAGATGAACATCTGGTCGCACAGCCATGCCTGCCTCGCCCCCTCCTCCCCAGTCACTTCCTGCCCGGGAGACTAGTCAGACGTTCGAGGCCTCTCCGGACCCGCGCTGGGGGAGTGGAGAAGCAGAAATCAGGGACCCACATGTTCAATAAAGTCACATCCCGGACTGAACGCGGCGGTAATTCCTGGATGTGTGCTCGTCGACCCAGGTGTCCACGCGTGCTCTGAGCCTCCTTGTCCCCTCTCCCGTCGTCCTATCGATCCTCGGCAGGAGCTCAGGGTCGGGCCCCCGACTCTCCAGGCATCAGGGCGGAGAGGGAGGGGCCCCAGAGGTCCAGGAAGAGGGAGAAAGGGAGAAATTCGAGAAACAAGCCACTCGGGGAGAACCAGACAAACCGGGTCCGGGCAGGGCGGAGCCGGGTCTGGGGCCCCGGAGTGAGGGGGCGGGCTCTCGGTGGGAGGGGCGCTGCAGAGGCCTCGGCTGCTGCGGAGGACCGGAGTGGAAGGGTGGGGAGCCCCGAGACCCCGTGCGTCCTCGGGCGCCGCTTGGATGCGCGGGTCGCGGCTCCCCAGGACCCCCGATACCTCCAGGAGTCCGGCCCAGGGGGCAGAGCTCCACTCTTGGCTCCGCCCCAGGCCTGATCCCCAAGATTCAGCGGGGTACCCAAAAGGGGGTAGTGTAGGGAGGTGGGGACTCTGAGATGGCGAGCGAGAGCTGGGGTGCGCGGGAAGGTGAATCCGCAGGGACGGGCGTTCTTGGGGCTGGGTGGTCAGAGAGACCGCAGGCCGGGGCCCGCCTTAGACCACGCCCCCAACCAACACCGCCCACCCGTGGCCCCGCCCAGCGCTGGCCCCGCCCACAGGCCCCGCCCCTCTAGCCCGCAGCCCCCACCCCCCGCCCGGCTCCTCAACACAAACTTTCCGTCCCGCTCGCTCCCTCCTCCGCGCCCAGCACCTCCCGCTCCGGCCCGGCTCATTCCGTGCATTCCGGCCATCCCCCTGCCCACGACCCCCCTTCCCGGCCCCCCTCGCTACTCCCTCGGGCCCGGAGGAACGGCCCGGCGGAGCGCCCCCCGGAGCTCGGAGCAGGTAAGCCCGGGGGACGCAACTCGGAGGCCTCGCGCGCGGAGGTGACTGCTCGGGTGGCTTCTGGATGGCGGGGACGCGGGACACTGGGGGCTCTGAGCTATTGTCCAGCCTGCGCCCGAGCCCAAGACTTGGGTGCCGGGAAGTTTGGAGGGAAGGGGGGAGACGCTCTCCGGGAAGCCCCGCCCACTCCCTCCACCACCACCACCCCCCCGCGATCCGGAGGCTGGGAAGCCCGGAGTGTCCCGGGTGCCCGGGCCTGGCCCCGCCGTGTGCCGGGGCGTGCGCCCGGAGCCGCGGGCTAGGAGGGCCTGCCGCCGGGACTCGTATCCGGGGCGCCCTTTGGACTCCGGGAGCCCGCGGGCCCCGGGCTCCACGCAGGCCTTGGCCAGGGCGCGTCGGTGTGAGCGCTGCTGGCCGCTGCGCTGCGACCCGGCCGGGCGTCGGGAAGCCACACTGCGAGCTCGGAGCGTGTGCGCACCCAAGGGGGACGCCTGTCCCCTCCAGTTCTGCGGCCCACGTCGGGGAGAGGGCTTCAGAGTCCCAGCCCCGAGCTCCAGGAGCCTCGCTCGGGACGCGGCTTCGCTTGGGGCCTTCTCCGCACTTCTCCGGAGAACTTGTTAAGGCAATTGAGGGCGTCTGGTTTTCCCTTCCCACTCGGGTCCTCTCCATTGTCTGTCACGTCTTTATTCCTTCTTGGGGGAGGGCGGCCGGAGTGCTGGTGTGGATCTGTTTTCTAGCCCCCGCAGGCCCTGGGGCAGTGTCACTGAAGACCTACGGTACCCCCACCCCCCATAGGGGCCCTGATTGAGGGCTTCAATTCTTAAAGAGCAAGAGGGAACGAGGTCCGGGGCCGGGCTTCTCGGGGCCTGTGTCCCGAGCTCTCCAGGTAGGGGCAGAACCAAGTCAGGCCTGGACTTGTAGCCCAGCCGGGAGGATGGGGGTGGGGGCTGGACACAGCTCTGAGGGGCTGGTGTCCATGGTGGCTCCGTGTATTCGCGCTCCCCTGGTCTGGTTCTGTGCACACACGGTTCCGCCTCAGTGCTGGGGTCTGGGACACCCTCCGGCTGGGGGGTTGCTGTCGCCCGGGGCCAGGAGGGAAAGCAGATTGAAGCTGGAGGTTTCGGGAGACTATGGCTCTGCCCTTCCTAGCCCCCGGACCTCCCTCGGAGACTCCCTTCTCCACACGTCTTCTGATCACTTGTTAAAGCAGTTGAGGGCGGCTGGTTTTGCTCTCCCACTCGGGTCTTCCCCATTGTCCGTCAGGCTTTTTTATTCCTTCGTGGGAAGGACGTCTGCTCACCTTGGGGCCAAGAGTAGACATGATGCCTGGATACCCCTCCTCAGGGAGGGGCTGGAAGCCAGGCCTTCCCCACCCCCAGGGAGGGAGCTGTAATTAATGCTAATTAGCACTTTGGGGCTGGGGATGGTGGAACAGAATGGTCAGTGGTTGGCAGGCGATCTTTGAGTGTGTGCACACACACGTAGGTGAGTGTGTCTGTCCAGAGCCCTGCACCCACCAACACTGTGGATTTTCACACCCTGTCCTCTTACGCTGTCTGGAGAAGGGACAACTCAGCTGAGGTCAGGGAGACAGGTCTCTGTCCCCTGCTGGGCCAGCTGTATTGGTGACTGCTCAGGTGCCTAATCCCTGAGCCCCGCAGAGGCTTGTCCTGTCTGCCTTCAGCCTCCTCTCATCATGGAAACTGAATCTGGAGGGGTCTTGAGAGGTGGGTGGGTGGGTGGGTGGGTGGCCCCAGATGGTGCAGAGAAGCAGGGAATAAAGTCTTGGGGGGCATAGTTAAAGGATGGATGAGAAGTAGCCTGAAGAGGGGTGAAAACACAGGGAGGCTGTGGAGTTGGGGGTGCTTGCTCTTGTAAGTGGGGTTCAGAGGCCCCTGGATGGATGGCTACCGCCATCTTCAGTCCCAGAACCTTTCAGGGCCCCCTGGGGCTCCGTATAGGAGCTTGCTGGAACTGAAGTCATCAGTCCTACCCTCAGTGGATGCAGAGGTGCTGAGGGTCGGGGCGTGGACTCCTGCTGGAGGAACCAGGCCACAGAGAACCAGGAGGTCCCAGCCTTGTCGCCCGTGGGTCACAGGAGCTGCGAGCAGCCCTAGGACCCCAGCCCGAGCCCCTCTGGTGAGAGCCGGGGATCATCGGCAGGTTGCTGCGGTCCCTGTGAGCATGGCGCAGGGGCTACCTGTCTCCAGACGCAGATCCCCAAAGCCTCAGCGCTTGGGGTTTCCTCGAATGCTGATTGTTTCCTGGACTCCCTGCCAGGCCTGAAAGGACAGGAAGTGATAGAGGGAAATGAGACTGTGGCTGTGTGGGGCTGGATTTGAGCAGATGAGAGGAGCGTGAGGGGTCATCTGTGGGGGACACGCTGTGCAGTGGGGGTGTGTGGGAAGGGACCCAGATACAGACTTGGAGACCCTACGTGAGGAAAGCTGTCTGTGGCGGCGACGTGTGTGTGTGTGTGTGTGTGTGTGTGTGTGTGTGTGTGTGTGTGT